ATAAAGTAACGGGAGATGTAAGAATTAGAAGTCGTCACGAAACACAATTAAATAAAATTAAGGAGAATGAGATGGGTACGGAGTGGGCGAGAAATCAATACAGCATTTTGGTCAGAAATCTGAAGGGATGAAGAAAACCTGGAGACCTAAACGTGGATGGGAGAATAATATTAAAATGGATCTTAAAGATACTGGATGACAGGGTGTAGACTACATTAATCTGGCTCAAGGTAAGGTTCAGTGGCGAGATTTTGTAAAGACGGTAAAAAAAATGGTTCTATAAGAGGCGAGGCAATTTCTTGAGCAAACCGACGACTGTTAGTTTCTCAAGAAGGATTCTGCTGTATGGAGTTGGTCATTACGTTTTTCTTGGCGACCTGTACATTTTGCAGGGTTTTCTGGTTTGTGTTTGTACCGCATGAAAACGACTGGAAACGTCACAGCCTTCCGAGTGACGTCTTACCTTAACGTGGCTATGTCATATACCATTCCTGCCACTTCTTGGACTCGAAACAAGGTCACCGAGCAAGCTGGAAAAATCTACAACACTTCTGATTTGTATCCTCATGGTACTCAATTCGAATCTAGACCGAGATAGCTACTACTCTTGATTGAGGGGTTTCATGGTTTTCTTCTGTCCCTCCGGAAAAATGCCGGAATGATATCTCAAATTAGGCCTTGACCGCTTCCTTCCAAGTACCTTCTCTTTTCCTTGGCACTACAGCCCCAGGTGGCCTTGGCCTACCTCCATGAATTTCTCCGTTCACTTCGGTTTTTCTAGATCTTACACATTCGGTAGGACTCCTTGGGCGGGTGATCAGTTCGTCGCAAGGCCTCTACCTGTACACAAACACAGAAACACGCACACACACACAAACTAACATCCATGCCCTGAGTGGGATTCGACCCCACGATCCCGGTTTCCAAGCGAGCGAAGACAGTACATGCCTTAGACCGCTCGGCTACCGTGACCGGCTCCAAGTACCTTACCATTCACTAATCCAACTACTTGAGGCTATACAGCCTGAGATACGGACAGCGTCATTACACAAACAATAAAGAAATAAATTACACAGGTCTCCAACCAAAAAACTGCATACGATATTTTTACTGTTTCTTATATATTTTTACTAGCTAAAACCGGAAAGAACAATAAAAAAAATCCATCACGTCATTTTTTTTTTGCAAAACTCATATTTTAATTTAATTTTGCGTCAAATTTCTCTTCAACATGAAATCTGATATCTTATTGTTGATTCTAAAAACCATATCCAATAATTATTTCTTATTTTAAAATAATATTTATAAGAGTGAATCGAAAATGGGTGGGATGGGGGGGCAGTGGAAAGGGTTGGTAGGGTGGGTTTGGTGGTGTAAGGAGCTCAGGCGATCATGTCCCAACACGTTTACTTTGTTTGTAGCGAAAGGTGAGGAATCTTACTAGCTCGGTTGAGCATGTTTGGACATGTTTTTGGGGCAATAGGAATGCGTATAAACAAGCCTGCTGTCAGATTTGATCATGTCTCAACACGCTAAATAAGTTCAGGATCTTGGTTGATGTAGGCTATAAGCCACTCAGTTTACATCCTGCATTCAAACGTGACTGTGCTTGTGTTTTAGCTCTGTATTATGCCTCAAAGAGGTTGTGTTATTTCTCCGGACAACTTTTGTTTTATTTGTGGTGAATACATAGTTAAAAGTCAACAAAGAAACATAAGTGATTTCGTGAAGAAAGTGTATTTTGCTTATTTCAAATTGAAACTTGGGGATCAAGACAAACCTTGGGCTC